GCCAAGAGCAGGGGTGAGGGGTCCAGGCATAGGGTACATCTGTCCATTCTGACTAGTCCTGGGGCTGCCAGGAGGGAAGGCTGAGGATGGGGATGTGCAGGGCATACTGATTTTGGAGAGAATTGCTTCAGACCTGGAGCTGGGGGCTATCTAGTGGTCTCCACTGGGCAGTGGTCCCTTGGGCCCAGGAGCCACTGCACCGGGCTGCCCAGAGTGACTGACCTTGGTAAGTAAAGTGGTCACTACGAGTTCTGGCCCAGGCTTCAAGGACACCCTTCCCAACCTGCCCTACCTACAGTGAGGCTTGAAGGTCCCAGCACCCATGACTAGGGACTAGTGTCGCATCCATCAAGTCCAAACCTACTAACACCTACTCAGCCTGCCCAGGCCCAGTCCACTCTGGTTCTAACCAAACTCTCCCCAGGAGGCAACCACAGCCCCCCGTGGCCCAAATTCTCACTGGTTCTCCTGTGTGATCAGACAAACCATATATTTTATGTGAGTTTATTAACTTACAAAGGAATGAGTACCCAGTGCCTAGCCCCGCATCGCCGTGACTCAGAGCCCGCCTTATCAGACTGTGCCATGCCCATAGCCCCACTAGCATTCGTTCACGCCTCCATGGCCAGCAATCTCGCCCCAGGTCCACAGGGAGTCAGTCCATTCTGTCTTTGAGTTGCTCCACTGGCTGCGAGTTTCCTACACCATCACGCTCTAAGGCGGCTCCTGGCTTCCCTTCCTAGTTCCTGCTCTGCATCAGGGCCCTAACATTGGAGGAACCAGCCAATCGGGAGACACCCCCTAGCAGGATTGGAGGTGCCTTGGGTCCTTGGATACAAGTCCCTGTGTCCTACAGCATTCCTGCTGGGTTGAGGCTGGGTTGGACAGCACAGCCTCTTTCTCAGGGACAGGCCAAGACTTGAGTGGGACAGACGGGAGATAGGCACAGACTTTAAGATACTATAAAGGTCCCTGAGGCTCCTGTACCCTCCATGGGTGGCTGTATCCCATCATAATGTGCCTAAGCTCAGCACTGCTGCCCCATGTGTGACCAGCCTTTTTGCTGGAGCTTCACTGGGCTATGATCCCACCATGTCCCATGTTTCAAACACCCCATCTGTGGGGAATAAAAGCTCTGGTGCTAAAAGCCACCTCACAGTCTATAGGAATTTGGCCAGAACATGACTGGGTTCCAGGAGTCTGAGCCCTCTTCGTAGGTGGCCACTGGGCTGGAACTGGCCCTGGTGTTATCAAGGAGCAATCAGCTGGCACAGGATGGAGTATAGCCTATATCACCAAGGACCTGCAGGTCCCATAGGTATGAGGAGCAGATGGCCATCTCCACACCAGACTTGAAGAGACCTAAAGACTTGGCTCACATGCAGCAGAATTCTTTCTGCCCAAGGCATGTGGAGTCTGAGGTGCGGCCGCCTAGGACTTGGTGGCAGCCTGAGCTTGGCATCTAGAGGCCCTACCTCTGCCCTGCTCACTCCATTGTGAGTACATCAGCAGTGTGTGTGTTGAAAATGCTAAACCATATACTACACAGTGAGTGGGCTGTGGTTGGCTTCCCACCCCACTGTAGGCGTCCTGACTACAGTGGACGTAGATGGCTGTGGCACAAATAGACAAACCTCTTGGTCCTGTAGGGGAGCTGAGGGCAGGACCTGGGGATGTAGCTCAGTGTAGAGTGCTTGCCGAGCACACAAATGCCCTGGATTCTATCCCTAGCATTACCAGAAAGGAAAAGAAAAAAACAGATCTTCTCTAAAAGGAAAACTCAGAATTAACCTTTGAGGAGCCACCAGCCACATCCCAGAGGTTATGCCTACTGTGTCCACCAGTGAGGGCTGGGCCTCGGCTCCTCCTGACTTCCCCATGCTGGCCAAGGACAGACTTGTCCCCATGAGACATGGCAACTCCTGGGGCTTCATTTATGTTTCCCTGAGGACACATGCTGTCAGTGACAGTAGACAATGGTTTAGAGTGGCAAAAAGACTCCCCAAAGATACCATCCCAGCATCTTGATAGCACCAGAGTTGGTGACAACATAGCAGTAGTTACATGCTGAGTGCATGGTGCATCTGTTAACATGACTTCTGAGTAAAAACGAGAGGAATCAAAATGACACAAATGTCTGTGCTGGGACTTCAGAGCTGAAGGTACTGTTTTCCCTCCATCTGCCCGACTCCTTTTTCAACACATGACAGTCATGTGTGTGTACATGTTTCAACCAGTACTGACTGCTGTGGCAATTCCCATGGAGACGCCCCAGCTATCAGGGCCCAGGCTCTGGCCCACATTCCTGGGTCATCATCACACACAAGTTGTGCTGGCTGGTGGTGACCCTCTCTGACAGAGCTGCGCTTGACTGCTTCTTGGGCCTTCACTCTTCTCCCTGCCAGAATCTGAGAACAGGAGAGTGGTGCAGGCGGCTATCCAGGGAGGCCCAAGGCCAGCAGGTGGGAACCCACGGTCCACTCTGGCTTCCCACTGCCATTCTTCATCTACCCACCTCCAGAGACCAGCTCAAGGCCTCACTTTCCAGGCCAGCCCCCTCCATGTCCTAGAATATCTGTGAATGTCCTTAGTTGCCTCAATCAGGAGCTGATTGGCCCCACATGCAACAACCCCATGACCTGGGCCTTCTTCTCCAGCTTTGCAAGTGCTGAATACCAAGCTGCCCTCAGCAGGACCACCCTGGTTGTCCAGCAGCACCAAGAGTCCTTGGTCCCTGGACAGCCCCAGCTCAATGTGTGTAACCAGGCTGTCATGGTGAGTGGTCTGTGCATGCTGGGGCTTGCCTGTGCTTAGCTACTGCTGCCCATGCTAGAAGCTAGCTTCTGTTTTGAGGACACCTTGGCTCCTTGTACACATGAAGCTTAGCCTGACAAGGTGGACTCCAGCACCGTAGAGGAAGTCATCGTTTTGGGCAGTGTGGGAGGGAACTGACAGGGGCACTCCCCTAACACTAAGGACTGTTGAGGGTGATTGGCCTTACCTATTGCTTAGGGACTGGCTGCCCTGCTAAAGGGTTGTTCAGGACTGGATTGGACACAGCCTCCCCAGTTAGAGGGGCCATTAAGGAATGGCTTGCTCATTGCCTGTGTGCAGAATGTCACCAAAAGACTTTCCAGGGGGTTAACCTGTGCTGCTGGTGTTCGGCCTCTGGACAACTCTAGGTGGAGCAAGGAGTCCCCCAGTGAGGCCATGCCGCTCCATCCAATCTGCAGTACAGGCTTAGTTCAGTGAGTGACCACTGGGAGGAATACCTTCCTTTCCTAACACCTTGGTGTGTTTTTGCCTGGCTTCCCCTCCTTGGGAATGTTGCCCAGGATGTGGGCAGTTGTGTAAATTTCTGCCCTGAGGCTGTTGCATTGGGTCTCACTCTCCTTGCTGCTTGCTTGTGAGTTACAGACCCATCTGCTCCCTTTTCTGCAGGCCTGAGGCTGCTGTATAAGGAAAGCCCTGGGGCACCACGTTCCAGTAATTCAGAAAGGCATGGGGGTGTGTCTCTGCACTGCAGCCAAGTGGGTGGGTGACGTGGGAGGTCAATAGCCTATTAAATGCTCAGACCAGAAAATCCTGGATAACTGCAATTCATTTTCTTGAATTTTGTTTCCTAGAACTGGGCACCCCCAGGCTGTGAAAAGTTAGGGAAATGTCTGACACCTCCAGAGTCTGTCCCAGAGAAGTGCTCCTGGCCCCATTAGCCAAGACCAGAATCTCTAGCCAGCCCCATAAGTACCTGAGGACAGCAAGAGTGTGGCCTTGGAAGAGTCCAGCTGCCCTCTGCCCCACCACTGAATGGGCCGCCCCTCAACCTGTAGCAAGGTCCCAAAACAATGGCTGCTGGAGCACTGGCCCCGGAGTCCATCTTGTCGGCTCCTGTTGAGAAAGAAGCATCTCCAACTCCCCCTGCTGGCCTTGGTGGCCCAGTGCTGCAGCCCAGATCTGGAGGGCTGACACCTGGCCTCCTCCTAGTCACTGCATCTGTGGTAACCTTGGTGTTGTAGGCAAAAGTGAAGACTCAGTGCCCTGCAGAGAAGCCACCAACTACCCAGCCATCAGTGATCTCCCACCTCTTGAGTCATTCATTCTCCCTCTTCCTGATAGAGTACACTGCCCAGCCCAAAGGGAGAGCTGATGCCACTGCCCTGTGGAAATATGAAGGTGATATAATTCTAAGTGCCATAATTCAGTGGTGCCACATCTACTGCACCTGCCACCTGTCATGTGCAAGCCACCCAGTGCAACCTCTGAGACCCTTTCCCTGAAGGCTCACTGGACTTGGCCATGAGCTAATTTTCACATCTGTGCAATGACTGTCATGGCAAAGTTTGGAAAATAATAGACCAAGAGAGCAAGAATAAAGGAACAGGAGGTGCGTTAGCTCTGTCATTCTGGTTCTTAAAATGGATAGTGACGGCACATGCCTTTAACCCCAACGCCCGGGAGGCAAAGGCAGGTGGAGCTCTGTAGGCCAACCTGGTCTACATAGCGAGTTCCAGGCCAGCTGGAACTACAGGGAGACCCCATTTCAAACAAGACCCACCAGAGATTGTGTATTAGGAGACAATGCACCTTAGATTTCAGTGTACCTGTTGTGTGATCTTTTCTTGGGAAAAAAACATCTACTCCAACCAGAGCACCAACAACAGACCAAAGTAACCATTCTATCCAAATCCAGCTTGATGAACCAGTGAGTTTATTACAGGAGCATGGATGACCCCAGAGCAGCTGGATGATGGCTTCCCTATGGCTGCATCTGATGGCATCTCCCCTTCAGTTACCTTTCCATCCTGTTTATACTTTAGCACCTCCAGACACCAGTCAGATGGCAAAGCTGCCGTGGGGGCGGAGTTTCTGGAATCTCAGCTGAGGGTCTAATGGCCCTCCCAGGCCCTCTCCTGTGGGGAAACAACAGCCTGCACTGAGGAAACATGGCTGTGACGCTCAGTGGACAGCCTTCCACCACAGTGCCTGTGGGACCAGGGACTCTGCTGCAGATAGAAAGGTCTGCGCCCTCCAGGTGGGCCTCCTGGCTGGCTAAGCTCCATCATCCCCTGGGAGGTGGGGTCCCATTCAGGCAGGCCGGCCAGAGTGGGCCTCTCAGATCCGCTGCATCCTCCCGACGGTTCCCAGCGCTTCCCCTCCGCTGCAGGCCGTGCACATTGCAGTTGCGACCCTGGGCCCGAGACCATCTGCCAGTCTTTTCGGTTAGCTCCGGGAGCGTAGGGGCAGAGTGTCAGCTCCCTAGCACTGCGAACCGGAAGCACAGGACGCGAGGCAGGTGCGGGAGGCTGGCAGGGGAGGTGCAGGCCGGAAATAGGGCGAGCCGGAACCCCAAGGGGCACCGAGGTGAGGTCCCTTTCCTTCCCGTACGTCCTAGAGGTGAGGATGCGTCTGTTCAGTAGCGCAAGAAATGGCCATGCGTTTTCACTCCGATGTCACCTAGGGTGGTTTGAAATACACTACTTCCTGCCCGAGGCCACGCACCGGTCTCCTCCTCGCGGACGCCCCGCCCCGTCCTGGCCACGCCCAACCCCTTGAGTGCCCCGCCCACAGGACGCCCCGCCCCTCCTGGTAGGACTGGTCCTCAGTTGCGCCCGGCCAACTGCGCCACCGCTATCCTTCCCCTCCGCGCACGCGACCATGGCGGAACCTGAGCTGCAGCTGGTGGCGCGGCGCATCCGCAGCTTCCCCGACTTCCCCATCCCGGGCGTGCTATTCAGGTGTGGGCACGAGCCGGCTAGGCGTTGGCGCCGCGCTCCGGACTCCCGGCGTGGGCGCGTGGCCGGCCCGGGGATCCCGTGGGCCCCAGGCCGGACCAGTTCCGGGTCACCAGCCTGCCTCTGTTCCCAGGGACATCTCGCCTCTCTTGAAGGACCCGGATTCCTTCCGCGCTTCCATCCATCTCCTGGCCAGTCATCTGAAGACCAAGCACGGAGGCAAGATCGACTACATCGCAGGCGAGTGGCCGCGCCCGGCCTTGCCCGTCTCCCCTGCCCAGGCTCCCCCATCCTTCTTCCCTTCCTGTTCCCCGTAGCCTGTCCCACAGCCATTCCTTCCTTCATCACCCCCTGGCCCTCATCCCGCCGTTCTTCCCCTGGGCGTTGTCCAGTGAGTGACTACTCTCCCCCCTGCGGGACCACCTCTGACCTCTGATACCCTCACTGCCGGTTCCTGCTAGAGATGGCCTCTGCTGTACCCTCGAGTCCAGGGCTAGCCTTTCCTCTTACAGGGTGCAAGGTTGGCTAGCACTCTGAGAGCAGGGTTTGTGGCGTTCACGTGTGCTTTCACGTGCTTTTGGGGGTCCCCGGACCTTCAGATAGGTGACGGATATACTAGCATGGGATGAGCAAAGTATTTCCCAATCTGGTAGCCCTGGGACAGTGTTGACTATAGGGAAGGCCTCGGCAGGCCTCTACTGTCATTGCCGACAGCCTGGCTGCCTGAAGGACTGATTATCTCCCAAGACCCTCTGACCTGAATCCACTGGGCTACCTCCCTCTTGTTCAACCTCCATCCCCTTCAAGCTTGTGCTGGAACACCTACCTGTGTACCGGGCTCCATGTGTTGGAGGGAGGACCCCTGAGAGAACAGCGTAGCTTTGGCAAGTTTTGCTGCCCAGACCTGCTCAAGCTGCCCTGAAGGTGGCTCGGCTGTCTCCAGGGCCCACAGTGTTGCTGCCTCCCTCCTCTTCACCTCCTACTGACTCTTATTACACTCCAGGAATGTAATCACAGCTCAGGCCATGTGGAGATGGCATGGCCCCAGCACATGGAAGTGTTCCTGGGCAGATGTGGCCCTGACCTGTACAGAGGGCAGGTATCTCCAAGGCTAAGACGCTGCCCCATAGCCTTCAGCCTTCTAGCTGTCACCAAGACCTAGTGCACCTATCTCCATAGTGCTGTTGTCCCTCCAGCCCTGTCTTGTGGGGACCCCATGCTCCTTAGCTCCACCCAACACTCCCCTCATCCTGACAGGCCTAGACTCCAGGGGCTTCCTGTTTGGCCCCTCCCTGGCCCAGGAGCTGGGCCTGGGCTGTGTGCTCATCCGGAAGCGGGGGAAGCTGCCAGGCCCCACGGTGTCAGCCTCCTATGCACTGGAATATGGGAAGGTGAGCGGGCTGGGGGTAGCTAGAGGGGCAGGGCCAGGTCATTCCGCCAGTGTCCTTCACCTTACCTAGGAGAGTAAATTTGGGAGCTCGGAGGTTGAGATACCTGGTCAAGTTTACACAGCCTGGAAACTTAAGGGGCTAAGGGTGGAACCAGGTCTGGGGAGGTGGCCACTTAGATCCTAGGCTCTCACACTACTTCCTGTATGCAGGCTGAGCTGGAGATCCAGAAAGATGCCTTAGAACCTGGGCAGAAAGTGGTTGTCGTAGATGATCTCCTGGCCACTGGTGGTAAGAGCCACCCCAAGGCATACAATGGGTCCCAGGGGATCAGGCCCAGCCCTACCTTGGGTACTGAGGTGGTATTCCAGCTGAGCCTTGTAGCCTTTGACCACTTCTTCCTTTTACCTTTACCCCAGGAACCATGCGTGCGGCCTGTGAGCTGCTGGGCCAGCTACACGCTGAAGTGGTGGAGTGCGTGAGCCTGGTGGAGCTGACCTCGCTGAAAGGCAGGGAGAAGCTGGGGCCTGTGCCCGTCTTCTCTCTCCTGCAGTACGAATGACTGGGGCTGGATGGCTGCTGCACCCCCACCTAGCGTCTACAGCTGGACAGAGGCTCAGCCCTGGGCTCAGAAGTGGCTTCTGTGGGCCATCACCTGCCCTTCAGAGATTTTGTGTCCACTTGATTTATTGGTCAGCTGACCCCCATATCTATGGGCTGCCTGGGCCCTGTCTGTATTTTCTATAAATGCTAAAACCTGAGGCGCAGAGCAGGCTGTTACTGAAGTTATGGTGCTCACAACAATATCAGAGTAAAATGCTTTGCTACACCTGTGTTTCCTGTCATCCTGC